CATGTGATGAAAGACAGAGCATCAGAGAAATGAGTCATTCCTGCAGGAAGAGAGGAAGCTGAAACATCACAAGTTTCAGGGTCAGCTGATCACCTTGTTACAAGTTCTGGAAGTTATAACTCATTTAAAGGCAACATATATTTTGTTGTATGTTACATTTATGCTCAACAGATCTTAAGCTTCATTTTATTTAGTTATTTTGGGAAATCACCTGCACTTTCATTCCAGCCTCTCCCTTCATTCCAGGAAACTTCATCTCACAGCACCCTTCCCCCACCTCCATCTTGTCCCTCTCAACTTTTCAGGTGAGGAATGAGCTGCGAAAGATCAAGGTGCGTAAAGCTGCAGGTCCAGATGGAATCAGCTCCAGGCTCCTGAGGTGCTGCTCAGATCAACTGTGCGGCATCATGGGATTTATGTTCAATCTGAGCCTGAAGCTGGGGAAAGTACCATAACTGTGGAAGACCTGTGTGGTACCGGTACCAAAAACCAAACATCCCAAGGACCTCAGTAACTACAAGCCGGTGGCTCTGACCTCACATTTGATGAAGACACTCGAGAGGCTGGTCCTCAACCATTTGCGCTACCTGGTGAGGTCTTCGTTGGATCCATTGCAGTTTGCCTACCGGCTTGGCATCGGGGTGGATGACGCCATCATCTACCTCAGGCACCAAGCTCTGACCCACCTGGAGAAACCTGGAAGCATCGTGAGGATCATGTTCTTTGATTTCTCCAGTGCTTTCAACACCATCCAGCCAGGACTTCTGTGGGACAAGCTGGAGTTATCAGGAGTGGATCACCACATGTCCCAGTGGATACTGGATTACCTCACTGGACGCCCACAGTATGTGAGGACACAGGGCTGTGTCTCTGACATGCTGGTCTGCAGTATGGGGATCCCACAGGGAACTGTGCTGGCATCATTCCTATTCACCCTCTACACTGCAGACTTCACCATCTTCTCCCCACACTGCCATCTGCAAAAGTTCTCTGAAGACTCTGCCATAGTCGGCCTCATCACAGGTGAGGACGACTCAGAGTACAGACTGTGGACACAAGACTTTGTGGACTGGTGCCAGCAGAACCACCTCCTGATCAACGCTGCAAAAACTGAGGAGCTGGTGGTGGATTTCCGCAGGTGCAGACCCACCTCACTGACCCCAATGAACATCCAGGGAGTGGACATTGATACTGTGGACTCTTATAAGTACCTGGGTGTTCACCTGAACAATAAACTGGACTGGTCTCACAACACTGATGCACTTTACAGGAAGGGTCAGAGCAGACTCTACCTGCTGAGGAGACTGAGGTCTTTTGGAGTGCAGGGGGTGCTCCTGAAGACCTTCTTTGACTCGGTAGTGGCATCAGCCATCTTCTATGGTGTTGTGTGTTGGAGCAGCAGCTTATCATCAGCTGAGAAGAAGCAGCTAGATAAGCTCATCAAGAAGGCCAGCTCGGTGCTTGGATGCCCCCTCGACCCAGTGCACGTGGTGGGAGACATAAGGACTCTAGCTAAAATAACATAATTGCTGGACAACGTCTCCCACCCCATGCATGAAGCTGTTGCTGAACTGGAGAGCTCGTTCAGTGACAGATTACTGCATCCTAAATGTACAAAGGAGCGTTACCGCAGGTCCTTCCTCCCAGCAGCTGTTAGACTCTACAACCATCACTGCTCCCAACAAACTCAGTAAGGATTAAATACATGCTGACCTCTGCTGAAACACACACTCTGCCTGTAATACTGGATTGTAAATATTCTGTCCTTATCAATGTTCAAACACATATTGAACATTATTATTGATATTGTTTATCTTATTTCTTTATATATTGTATTGTTTTTTTAACATTTAGGAACTTTTGTGTGAAATCTTTTTATCTGTTGCTGCTGTTACACTTGAATTTCCCATCTGTGGGATAAAGGCTGTTTCTATTCTATTCTACTTTAGTTTTTGTGGTGGATTTATTGATCTATATTTTGAGCAAACTTTTTCAATCTAAATAACAGAAGGATATTTTTTATTTGTATACTTGGAGACTGAATACTTTACTAAATAAAGTAATTTCAGTAAAATTGCCTCTTGTTTTTATAAATTTTATGTAATACTGAAAAGCAACATGTTCAGTTAATTTTATCAAATAACTATAGTTTCTGTTTGGTTTTTAAATATCGCAAAATTTATCGTTATCGTCAGAATGCTCTGAAATATCACAATATTATATTTGAGCCATATCGCCCACCCCTAAGTGGTACACATTCTTTACTTTTTAGTCTCTTTAACGTGTGGCACGGGGGCTGCACAGCTGCAGAAATAAAAGTTCTGCAGAGAGTGGTGAAGGTTGCACAGAAGTCTGTTGGAGTCAGCCTCCCCACCATCACAGACATCTACACCTCTAGATGCAGGAAGAGAGCCACCTGCATCATGAAGGACCCCGCTCACCCAGCACACACACTTTTTGCCCCGCTCCTCTCAGGTAGGAGGTTGAAGAGCATTAAGTGTAGAACCACTAGACTGAGGGACAGCTTCTACCCTGAAGCTGTTAGACTCATGAATCTATAATCAGGATTATCACTGTAAGAAAAAAAACACTGTAATGCCACTTTAATTGCTTTAATTGGAGATTTGACACTTTATCTATGCTGCTGATTATCCATGCTTCTGATTTCTTACCCGTAAGCTGGTGTATTCGTACCCATGTGCTCATACAGACTCATGTTCAGGTTGCTGTTTAATACACATATTCAATTATTATTGTTTAGTTTATATCTTAGATCATTGTATTGCGTTTCTTTTTATACTTTATATTTTTGCTATTTTTGGGTGTAACTGGGTCCTTGAGTACACAATTTCATTCCACCTCATGAACATTTGATGTGAATGGCAATAAAGTCACCTTGAACCTTGAACACGTACGTGTGTACGTGGACGGACTAATAGTGAATGCTGAAAATTGTGCACCAGGAAGTAAAAATGTAACAGTTTAGCCTTTTTTATAGAATGGAATGGGAGTTGTTAAAGTACAAAACAAAGCAAATTATACTTAAAAAAAGAAATGCAAGTTTCAGCTCAGTGCAAAACTGAAATAGACTTAAATGTATCCTTTGGGTGCATCTACTGTTGAGTTAAAACACACACAAACACACACACACACCAAAAAAAAAAAAAAATGGGAGCAAGTCTAGCCAGGCAAAATGGATTTCTGAATCTCTATGAAAGTCTCAGCTGGCATCACTTCACTTGACTTTATGGGAGGAATAAGCTACCTAAAACCCCACCGGGATGGTTTGACAGGCCTGGTCCAAAGCAAAGCCTTTACTTTCAAAAAGTGTCCTGAAGTTTGGACCGTTTCAAAGCTCCTTGTGTTGTTGACAAATTTCCACTCTCCCAGATTTAACCATGGTTTAAAATTCCTGGGGTTTGCCTCGTTGCACCGATTTTATGTTTTCTGTCTTGACCGAGTTTTCCAGTCGGGAACGAAACAAATCTTGGGTTCTTTTTTTTTTGTTTGTTTGCAAAAGTGGATCTGAATGAGCATTGACATTGAGCCCAGATGAGGCCAAGATATCTATGGGTGTTCCTGTCGAGACGTCTGCTCTGACAGAAGCGCCGTCAGCTCACACCATCAACACCTGACCCATTTCCAGACTGCTGCGGAAACGACAGCCTGTCAGTCGTTAGAAATCAGCAGAATAAATGTGAGGAATCATATGTCTTTTTTTTTTATATATAATTTGTCTATTTTTACCTTTCGTTTTTCTTGTCATCTCTTCCCTTTCCTATTTTATTACACATTTCGGTTAGTCCTTTTCCTTTACCATATCCTGTTCTTTCCTTTTTCCTACTTTTGTTTTTTCTTTCTTTTGTCTTTTATTTCATATTTGTCGTTTTACTGTTCTTGTACTCCCATTTATTGCCCGTCTTTTCCTTTTTTCTTCCTCTTCCCTTCTTTTTCATCTTCTTTCCTTCCTTTCCTCTTCTGTCATTTTCCTTTGTTCTTTTCCTTCATTTTTTTCCTTTTTCGTTTCCTATTTTTTCCTTTCCTTTCTTCCAAAATGCTACCCAGAGAGAGGGAAATCTTGTCCAGGCAAACATCCAAACACAACATCACATCCAAAACCCAAATCCCCCTCATGTTTGTCCTCCACACCTTTAAGGACTTGATGAAAAGCACACTTTTCTTGCCAGTTCTGCCAAAACCCCAGATCTGTATACTCATACACTCCTCTTCCAGTATCCCAACAGTCCCTTCTGGTCCAAAGCCAAGTCTCCATTGCATCACCATCACCCCCGCCCCACTTTAACCCACGCTGTCCGACAAGACGAGCCTACCTCTCGCCCTTCTACCTCGCCTCACACCTTATCCTCCAACCCTCCTCCTCCTCTGGTCCTCTGCCATCGTCATGAATAATAAACACATCGACACACACGAATGCACACGCTCAGACCCTAAAGGAAAAAAGTTAAACTCATGCTAATGGTACATGTGAAGATGGATTTGCTAATTTAGTCACATCTCATTAGTTAAGATGGGTCTGAACCAGAAAAAAAGATTACAAGCTAGCACTTCTGGAATGAGTGCATATCACCTGCTGCCTTTCATCCAGGAGCTTGAGACTTGAGCTCATCCAGTGTTGACTGGTAGCCATATTGGTCAAATCTTGAAATTACCATTAAATTTCATGCAATGGCCCAAAATGCCGTGCTCAATATATGTGTTGGGAAAGACTCTCAGCTGCTACCACAGCAGATTTTAGTTCAATTTATGCAAAAATGACTGAGTTATTGTCTTTTTGAATTGGTAAATGTCAGCTGTGGCCGCCTGCTTGAATCAGACTGACTCCAACAGTTAATCACTTGTAGATGTACATCTAAGGATTCCTTTCTGCAAGTTTAACTAAAATTCATCCAGTGGTTCATGAGATATTTTGCTAACAGACAAACATGGTCAAAAAACATAACGGCACTTTGTGTGACCAGTACACGGTGATTGTCCTGTACCTGACGGACATGGAGAACTCCCCCGGAGCGCTCTCACTCTCCCTGACGAGGAAAGCTCCACACTCTCTGTTTCGGAGTCGGCTTTCGGCCACGCCACGAGAAATCCGTCCGGCAAACCAGCTGAGCGATGGAGAGAAACATCCAGAAATAAAAGAAGTCAGAAAGAACGAAGTCAACTGATGTTAATGTTCTATTATTAGACTAGAAAAAAAAAAGTTATTGGTGGAAAAGACTAAAAGAGAGAGAGAGAAGGCGTCTAACTGAAGTGCAGATCAGTGCTGACAAAAAATTAAAAGAACAGCTCAGGGGGAGCAAAAATATGACACATTTGTGAAGTTATTTTAAAATCAGATGCTAAATCTGTACATAAAACAAATCCCAAAGGACTGGGCTTTAGCTGTCAGCAGTGTAGCGTGTAATAGTGTCATTTTTCATTTCATATTTTGCTCATCACTTTGGCTTAGCAGCGCTGTTTGCTTGGATCCAAGGCTCGAGTGAGGCACAATTCTGCTTTCGTGAACCATAAGGCTCGAACAAAAGCACAAACATCTTGACAAACTGCCTGGTGTCGGGGCTTTTTTACAACCACAATTACAAAAAAGACGTCCATCTATACATTATCGTTACCTGCTTCATCCTTTCTGGGTCATGGGGGTCCCCAAAAAAAGACGAGTAAAATATAAATAAAAGTAGGATGCAGTAATTGGCTATTTGCATAAATGCTAATTTTAATCACAATAGAACAGTAAACATGGAATTTGTACTTCTTTTTTTTTTTTTTTTTAAGTAATTTTGTCTTTGATTTGAGCAATGCATCTTACAAAAAGTGTGTGTATGTGTGTGTGTGT